ACACACACAGCTAATATCCATGTGCGTACATTTTGTTTTCTTTGTACATAGGATTAATTTTGTCTCACAAATTCAAAACTTTTATGCTTTATGATCATGGAGTAATAACGCTGTACTTACATGAGTTTGTTGCAGACAGGTGGTAAGAAAAAGGCTTTGTTCTCTTCTATCCATTTGTTTACATTAATTGGCTGGACCTCCATGACTGTGGACAGAACTCCTTATAGTTGTTAGACACTTTCCGGCTTTGACTCACAGATTGGACAGGCAGTTGGAATCTTGTCACTAGACCTGGCATTTTAAGGACCACTGCATGTTTACTGAACAAAGTTCAAAAGAGTCAAAGGTAAAGTCAGACAGTCGTAGTTACAAATGCAGAAACAACTGTTAAAGTGAACTGGATCCAAAATAGATTTTTAAAAGTAAACATATTTGTTAAAACTATTTCATGGGTTATTTATTTCATAACGTTCTGATCAGCAACTATGCTATTTAATTATTTGCAACGTCAACCCGTGCACGCTCTGACGTATTTTTAATTTGCACAGTAGTGTCCCCTTACGTAAAATTCCTTCGTCATTTACAGTCCCACAAAGAGGCAAATAGGTTAAGATTGTAGCTTTGCACACGTGAGCTTGGCTGGTGCAGCTTTTCTCACTCCACTTATTCCTGGGGACCTCATTAAACTGTATGTCAAGCAAAAGACTTTGTTTTTTTCTGCTTTTGAATAGAGTAAAGAAAGATTTGAACTCTTGTCTTGATTTTACTGCAATAAGGGCTACATTAGAGAAATTTACCCTCACTTCCTGTCCTGCTGACAATGGATTCACCAAACAGGAAGTGAGGGAAACTTTGCAAAAATGGCACAGAAATAAAGAAAACTGACATTAGTTCTAGCCTTCCCCTTCTCTACAACAATTTTGTTTTTATTCTGTATGTGTTGCTTTTGTAGACTTCCCCTAACCTACAAAACAAAATGGAACAGAGCGCCACCTCCGTGTGTAAAATCGTTTTTTAAAATGCATAAAACAAGGGATAAACAGTATGCGCTCACAAGGAAATGTTTTCATCACACTTTAACAACACTGTCTGTTAACCCAACATTTTCCCCCCGACTATGTTCCACGGCTGCCTCCAATCACCGTCCGCAGTCAGCTAAGATTGACGCGTTTCAGGGGCACGCCCCCTTCATCAGATGATTCTGTTCCCTTTTGTTTTTTATGTTCGTGTCGTAAGCCCCAGAGCCTTGGATGAGCAGCCCCTCAAGTTTGTGTGAAAAACTTTGAATTATTGAACAGCGAGTGGATTGTTCAGATGGCAGCCATTAGCGCCAAGAGTTAACGAAAACTTCTTCCCCTAACCTACTGTCTAGTAGAACATTGTCAGTAGGACAAGAAGTGAGGGTTACTGCACCAGAGCCCCAGATGGCACTAAAAATTTGACAGGGGTTCTAATCTTCTACTATTTGATCCAATACTAGGAAATAGCATTTTGGCTGGACATACATTTTAAATCATTGGTGGATCCATTGATACAAACACTAGTGCCCATGGCAGGATTCTCTAGTTACTTCAAAAGATACTGCAGCTTAAGCTGTGAACATTTTAAAAGTCAGTACTCTACATTAGAGGTGTATTTATGGATTTAAATGTTATTTCTAAAAATATAACTATTCACTTTGTAAAGATGTAGATTTAGATTAAGTGCAATTAACCTACAGCTAGCCATACATGTTTTGATTTCTCCCTATGGAGAAATCAATGGGGGAAATCACTCAATTCCACCATGCACACTAAACAGTGTTGATGGAGGAACCTCCAGTGCCAGCTTTTGTATTCAGACATCCGGAACCCGGCAATCAGAGTGGGACATAGTTGTACAGGTTGGGGTAAAGGGCTCCCGAGGATGGGAGAGACTCTAGAGAAGTCCCAGAGGCGAGCATGGGAGGAGTTGACGAGGGAGCTGGGAAGCAGGAGGTCTTTTGAAGAGCGGAGGGGGCGGTTAGGGTGATACTTTGAGACATGGTTTAAGATATAGCCGGGGGCAGAGTTGTGGATGGCTTTGTAAGTGGTTGTTAATATTAAGAATTTTATCCTTTGGGCGAGTGGATGCCAGTGCAGTGATGTAAAGCACTGCATAAATTCATGCCTCCATATAAATACCTGTAATAAAGAAATAAATAAATTCAGCAGTGCTCCTAAATACAATAGCCGGCAGCGGGGATTCCTCCATCCTACTGTTTAGCATGGGTGAGGGAATCAATAGACATGTGCACTGCCAAAAAATTAGTTTCGTTTTAAATTCGGATTTGTGTTATTTCGTTTTTCGGGTGTGAAAGTCAATTCGGATTCGAAATTCGGATTCGGAAGAAATTCGTTAGCGGTAGTTCGTTCGAACGTTCGTTTCGTTTTCGTTTCTTATTCGGTTCGTTCATACGTTCGTTCGTTTACAGCAAAGTGACGTTTGAGGGGGGAAAATGTTTTCTTCAACGGACGAAACGAATAAGAAACGAATAAGAAACGAACGTTCGAACGAACTACCGCTACCGAATTTCAGAAATGGAAATTCGGATTCGTTTGCATTCGTTATGTCTGTAATTCGGAATTCGGATACATCCGAATGTCCGAATTTCCGAAAATTCGTCCGAATTTCGATTCGGAACGAAACGAATCGCACATGTCTAGGAATCAATAGGTTTCTCTCATTCCGCCCGTGGGGCTGAATAAAAGAAATTCAAAGCATGTATTGTCAGCTGTAGTTTAAAAAAAAAAAAAAATCAGGTCTGGGTAAATAACTTTTTATTGTGTTTATTTTTACGTCTTTCCTGCAACTCTGCAACTATTCCCAGACAGAGGCTCAGCCTGAGTGTGTGAGGTGTGTATGATGTATGTTGGCGCCCTCTAGTGCTCAAACACTATATTGCAATGACCCTGGAAGAGACATCCCCTCAACTATGTGCTTGTCATGTGTTCCCTTAAGGTGCCCATACACCTGCCGATTATCGTACGATAATCGCGGGAAATCCCGCGATCATACGA